CCCCCTCTCTCTTCTCTGCTCTCCCCTCTCTCTTCTCTTCTCCCCTTTCTCCTCTTTTGTCTTCTCTTTTCTCTCCTCCTTGGTGCTGCTCTGCAGCCTCCCTCCCCCACCAATAAAAATCTTTCTTCTAAAAAAAAATAATGGGAAAAACAATAGTGTGTAACTCTGAAGGTTGGTGTGAGGATTATATGAGATTATGCACAATGCCTGCTACACTGTATGCACTCAACAAATGGGAGCTAAATGTATGCAACTTTATCGTCATTGTGCTGGTGGAAATCATCGTTTCCTCTTACCTGGACCATTGTGATACCCTACCGCTTTTTAAGCCTCAGACGCCTCCCATTTTTTCATCAACACTCTAATATCAGCTACTTCCAAGAACACAAATCTGATTATGATACTGCTGTCCTCAGAGAGTTTCTCATTGCATCCGTAAACCAAACCTCTTGGCATGGAACCCACAGTGCCCTACTTTCTGAGAACAGCCTGGGGGAGAGAAGGATATGGGGGGAAGTGGGGAAGGGGGGAAGGCCTAAGAGTCAGGAGCTCTAAAATTGTGCTGTTGTTTTGACAGTAAAAAACTATGTGATTTGGGGTTGCCCATTTACCCTCGTTGGGCTCATAGTCTAAAAAGTTAAATAGTTTGGTTAATGGTTTCTACCCAGCTCTCCCATCTAGTAACTGACCAGGCTGGAGCTTAAACCACGGCCACTGACACCAGGAATTTCTCCGTTTTCTAAGCAGTATTGAAAGCTGAGAAGAACCCTGGGCCTTATTTCCTCTTCCTGGAAAGAATGTAGTCAGTTAAACAAACCTACTTAAGACATTTTAGATAGCCATTATTAAATAGCAGTCAGTATTAATTATATCTATTAGTGATGTCTATCTATTAGACATTTGCCTTGAATGTTTTTCAGAGAAATAGCAAATATATTCAGTTGTGTACATTAAGAAGAACACATTTTATTTAATGTACTGCAAGAACCAACTGCATTCTCTGAACAACCATGTTGAGTATGTTTTTTTATACTTTTGATTAGGGTGCTACTTTATACTTTCAAATAGGTTTCTGATAGAAGGCAATACCTTTGAAGTAATGTCCCAGAGTTACATTCCCAGTAATGGTGGAATAAAGCTTTTTTTCTTTCTTTCTTTTTTTTTGAGACAGAGTCTCACTTTGTTACCCTCAGTAGACTGCTATGGCATCCTAGCTCACAGCAACCTCAAACTCTTGGGCTCAAGTGATTCTCTTGCCTCAGCTCCTGAGTAGCTGGGACTATAGGTGCCCGCCACAATGCCTGGCTATGTTTTAGAGATGGGGGTCTTGCTCTGGCTCAGATTGGTCTTGAACTCATGAGCTCAGGCAATCCACCCACCTTGGCCTCCCAAGTGCTAGGATTATAGGCATGAGCCACCTCGCTGGGCCCCTGGAATAACGCTTTTCACCCCTAAAAAGCTCAAGGCTTTATTTTCAGGATACAAGGTTTTTCAAACATTTTAAAAATACAAGTTTTTCAGTTGTTAAGGTAGCAAGTTTTTGTGGTTTTGCCTGCAATTGTGATATAGTTATTTCAAAATTATTCACATTTTTAATCAATCCTGTACCTGAAAAAAAGTAAAACATTTTGTGAGATGTTTAATCAGTTTTAACCCTTTGGTATGATTCATTTTTTGTTTGAATTTAACAATTCAATTCGATTCAATTCAATTCAATTCAATTCAATTTATTGGTAGCAATGGAATCATTCAATGAAGAATCCTTTCATGGGGTGACAGAGATGAGTACATTTAATCTTAGAAGGAAATGCAGTCATGAGCTGTCTATACTATTTTTCCCCCTTCAATTCTGTGATAAGCATTTTTCCATATGTGCTTCTGAAATTAGGGTATATCACACTGTTAACATGAATGGTGAATATTGTGTTTTTGTTTCCTCAAAGCAGTTATTAAATTAAATCAGTTATTAAGTTATTTTAGAATGGAAAAAGCACTGTAGATGGTTCTCTGGTACATTGAAGTAGGTACAGCTGATCTATTGGAAGCAGAGGAGACCCTGGATTTTCAGTTCTTGAAATGGGACCATGTCTTAGGCATTAAAAAAAAAATTCTTAGATTGAGCACGCTACATTGGACATAGAATGTTCTCTTAATATATGATAAATGGTATACCTACAAATGCCAGAGATCAAGAGACCACTTAAACATGGTCTTTGAGTGGACTGCAGCTACATTTGGGCTAACTGCTAAAAAAGCAAAGGAAGAAATTTTATGCTATCCCAGCGAGATTGGGATCATACAGGAGTTGTAACTGTAAAACTGTTGCTGGCTTTAGGTGAGAGGAGACTGTCTATGTAATGAGCTAAATTTTTGCAAAGAGGTGTCAACAAAATACTGGGGACAGAAAAATAAATTGTAAATTTTTCCATTTTGCTTTAGGCTGATTTCATGGAACTCTTTGATGTGAATGGAAAATTAATCTCTGCCATCTTAATAAGAAATCCAAGCAAATTATAAGAGTCAGCTATTCTTTTTTAAATTTGGCAACCTATAAAGTATGATCAGACAATATTACTTTACTCACTAAACACTTTCAAGTTACAGGCTTTAAGTTTCACCTGTAATTTTCTCACTAGTTTTTTCTCCTGTCTCACAAGGCAGGGACTATGGTTCAGTAGAAAACTCAGGGCTGGTTTCTAGCTGCTCATTAGATGTGGGACTCCGGACACACACTGGACTGTGTTAAAAATTTGATCTACTTGTTGTTCATTTTTTTCATTTTTAACACTTATATTCTTAAAATATCTTTAAGATCCAAGGTTTCATGACCTTATGGCATTATAACCCACGATAAGCACCAATTCCTGGAACTTCAAATACAAGAGCCTCAATTTCTGAGCATCCGGTATGATAATCAGCACCTTCAAACTATTGGCCACATTTAGGACACATTTGACTAATTCCAAAAATCTTTGGTCTTTTTTCAGGAGAAACTATTAGTATACAGAAAATATGAAATCCACTATACAAGAAAACCATCAATGTAGAAGTTACAGGCCAGAAGTCAATTAATATGCAAGCAGTTTTACTCATTCATATATGTTAATTGGTGATCAGAGTTTAAATCAGGCGTCTAAAATTGAATAAGCATAAAGGAGGGATACAATTGTGATTTCACATGATGACAAATACCCAAGTATCCATTAGATATGTGGAAATGATCATTAACTTCACTCGAAGGTAAACGTTCATGCCTATCATTGCCAAATGCAGAAAGCACAGAGTGAATTTCTGTCAAACCACCTCTGTAAATACGCTTCTGCATAGAAAAGCTATATAAAGGCACAAAAATAAATCCAATAGTCACCTTTTTTATTTTCTACTTTGCCTAAATGCTAAAGCTTTTATATAGCTCTTAATAAATATAAATTAAAATAGTTCACTGACCAATTATTTGAGAACTATTAGAAAAATGTCTGTTGGTTTAAAAACAATTACATTTTCAAAATCACAATATTTTCTGTATTTAAAAAGACAATGGATGCAAACAATTTTTTTTTTTTCAATTTTTAAGCAGTAACATGTTTCTGACCCACTGTGCTGGGTGTTTAGAAGTCACTGCTACTCACTGAGTTTTGACTGATGCACCTTAGAAGAGGGAGAAGGAAGGCCTCAAACTGCGGCTGTGAAGTGACACAGGTTTTGATTGTGACATTAAAGGAGCATCCAGCCTGTGTGTAGGTTTGCAGACCTCAGCTCTGGAAAGGATACGTCCCATTTAGTTTGTCGTTCTCCTCTCATTCTCCTGACCATTCATCCAGATGTGCATTTAGATACTACCTGGTTCCAAAATAGTGCCTACAACATCTCAGGTGAAGTGCATGGGGTCACAAGTCGTGTGTTTTGGTTGATTCAAATACAATTGAAATACTATATGAAAATGGAGATTAAGTCATGGAAAAAGCTGGTCTTGGTGACTCTTTTTCTACAAACAGCTGATTGAAAATCGGTTTCAGTTGTTCATTAAGCAAGCAATCTTATGTATTTAGATGAAGGAGAGAGGTTTACAGATTCCATCCACAGACAAAATAGTGACAGTTGTTTTTCTTGAGAAAACAGGCTTTAAAAGCATTTTTTCCCCTGACTATATCAAAGAGCATGTTTTATACAATCCAAAAGAGGAAAAGATAGATGCAATGACTACTTATGAATGTGAGGGCTCATTACTTTTTCTACCCTTGAACAAACAGCTATGGTAACCGAAAGGGACTGCTTGTTAACAATGTTTAAATTCCTGAAGTGAGGTACTATTATCAAAATGCTGACACTGGTTTCTTCAGTTAGCAGGTAGGAGAACAAGCTAAGTCCCAAAGAATATGCTGAAATCATCACCTCATTTCTTTCAGGCTTCAGTTCTTTTCTTGCTGGGCTGTAGGAGAGAAAGCAAAGGAAAGTCCACGCTGCTGGCTCCCTGCAGCAGCATAAGAACTTGTCAAAGGGGCACAGTAGAAAAGACAAAAAAGGAGACCCAGATTTCAGTGCCGCTGGCAGGGGGAAACGGAGCATTCGGCCTCTCACTTATCTTTCCTGAGCCTTAGGAAACAGAGATTTCCCCACGGCTTTGTTACATGCAATCTCATGCTCATTGCACGTGTGCAATTGATGGTAACTGTCACTCTAAAGGTGGGGCCTAGTTATATAAGTATTAGATTGGAACATATAAAATTGCCATTTTTGTGGATTAAAAAAGGCCAAATTTCAAACCTCTCTGTGATATGGTCCCCTCCTAGGAACCTGTAGGCCACTGTTACTGGGAGGCCATGGTGTGGCGGGCAAGGTCAGGTTCCTGGGTGAGTTTTGAGTCAAGGGTCATGGACGGCCACTTTCACTAGGGACTTGTTTATAACATGCTGAAATAACATGTACAACCACGAAGTTTGGGCATCTCAGACGATCCCACTCCCTATCCACAACACAAATCAACATTTTACATTTGCTAAAGTTAGCACATTAAATTCATTGCATTCGAACGGTTAAACTTCTGTTCCATGCGGCTAAGAATCACACATACATAAGAAGAATTGGCGCAAGCAGACTGGTCCGTCTGCCCTTTCTAATGATATCAGCGACATACACAGTCCTGGTGATTTGTGGATTTTCCTAACAGCCCGATTTCAGGTGTTTTCCATATGTCGGTTTCCTTTTCAGTCACCCTCCTTTGAACTTGAGGCAGACGTTTCCGAAAGTTGCCACTCAGCAGGATGTAGAGGAAAGGGTTGATGCTGCTGCTGGCGTAGCTGAGACAGATGGAGAGATAGTAGCCCACGTAGAAGGCCAGCGTGGGCTGCTCCATCTGTAAGTTCACCAGTTGCAGCAGGTGATAGGGGGCAGCGCTCAGGACAAAGACAGCCACCAGCACCAGCACCATCTTTGTCAGCCTCAGCACCCTCTGCTTGGGTACACTGGGATTGTAACTGCAAAGGCAACAGTCAGAAAAGCAGAACGTAACCACTCCAAGAAATCATGGCTCCTCGCCTTTCTAGAGCTTTCTGGACAGTTCATAATGGCTTTGCAGTGAAATACAAAGCTAAATATTATAGTGCTACTTAAATATTGCCAAAAAATTCTTTTTAATTCTTGTTAAAAAACTTCTCTCAGTTCTCAAAGATGGGGTATTCTGAGAAACAAAATAAATAACCAAGTATTGAATATGACTCAAAGTATGAAATAAATATCCATGAGTCTATACTGACATAAATTATATTGAATAAAGTGGGGGAAGAGATGAATCTTTATAGAATTCCAAACAACACACATACTCCTCTTTCAGGAGCTGGAGCTTAATTCCCACCTTTCCTCTTCTCCCTTGGGGGCAGGCTAGACTTAGTGACTCAATTCCATAAAATAGAGAAAGGGGTTAAAAATAGTTTCACAGTGGAAAAATCTGGCAAATGCTACCTTAACCAAGTGATCAAGGGTAGCATGGACAGTGATGCCAGGTAGCTGTCATTTGATCCCTGACATGCTAAGATGAGGAGTTGATTTTTTTCCCAAAACCCATAACTATAGCCTAATCATGATACAATATCAGGCAAAGCCAGATTGGGAACATTCTATAGGATACCTGGCCAGTAGTCCTTAAGACTATGAAGGTCATTGAAAAACAAGGGCAGAGGGAGAGACTAGCACACCTGGGGAGACCGGGAAGACACAGCAACTAAATGCA